ACACTAAAATAGTAGAATCTGGATAAAGTAGATTCCTTTAGAACATTATCTTTGAGGCTAGGCATTTAACAAAGGCTTTTAACCCTAAACGAAACATGAAAATAAATAAAATAAAAGAAGGGTAAAGTCCACTTTTGGTCCTTCATGTTTATGGGGTATCCAGACTGAGTCCCTATTATGTTTTGGTGCCCAATTTTAGTCCTTAAAACAAAAAAACGAGTCCCTATTATGTTTTGGTGTCCAATTTTAGTCCTTAAAACAAAAAATGAGTCCCTATTATGTTTTGGTGCCCAATTTTAGTTCATAAAACAAAAAAATGTAGTCCCTTTACCTCAATTTCTGTGAATTAACGGTCCATTTTTGCTCGACTGTGATGTTCTTTATTTTTGTTAAAATTTGTTGATTAATGTCAACTTTGACCAAAGAAAATAAAAGAAAATTTAAATGCTGAAAATATATTAATAAAAAATTAAACTAAAACAAGAAATTACACTAAATTAAATTAAAATTTTTGCTCGTCTGAATTCTATTTCCCTAGCATTCGCGCTGCGGAGCAAGCCTGGAATCACAGCTAATGCTCTTGCACCCATTTCCGGGTCATGCCATCGAAAAAAATTGCACCTTACAACCCTCTGTTTTTTAACTATTTCTTATCATATTCCAATTGAAGTTCACGGAAAGTACTTACAGGATATAGAGGGCAACTCAAGAATCTTCTCCCGAGATTATCATCCTTCCAGCATGTAGTCAACTTTGCAACCAGCTCACATCTACAAAATACCACACCATTTCCATCCATTTGATCGGATTTAATCCCTAGGCGGTTAGGGTTTTTATTTTATTTTATTTTATTTATTTTTTACGTTTCACTGCAGTTCACTATTTCTGTCTTTTATTTTACTTTTTCAGCATTTAAATTTTCTTTTATTTTTCTTTGGTCAAAGTTGACATTAGTCAACAAATTTTTAAAAAAATAAAGAACATAACGGTCGAGCAAAAATGGACCGTTAATTCACATAAATTGAGGTAAAGGGACTACATTTTTTTTAAGGACTAAAATTGGGCATCAAAACATAATAGGGATTAAGTCTGGATACTCCTAAACATGGAGGACTAAAAGTGGATTTTTCCCAATTATAGGAACTAATTTTTTTTGTTTCTTCCCCATAAAGGGAAAAGAAGAGCAGTCTGCGATGAGCTCCAATTTCTCTTGCTTTCAGAAGCAAAGAGGGTAAACTATATCAAAATCGTTATTCTTATAACCATCAATTACACCGAAACTCCCCAACTCGGTGGTCCTTAAATCGTAAAACAGAATCTCACCTTTACAGGTAAGAAGAATCACTTTCTCATTATTGTAGATTCCCACCACCCGGTCAACATGAACATCCTTCGGAACATGGAATGTGGACAACTGAGACCAGCTCCGGTCCGCATTGCTCCACACCCAAATCATAAACCACAAAGAATTTCTACGAAACTTCTCCTCATCGACAAAAATAGCGGCAAGCGACCCGTGATACTCTGCAAGAGCCAACATTAGGTAGCAGATGTACCTAAGCTTGTCCGGGTCCGGCAAGCGAATGACACCTGTGAACTCTCCGCGGCCGAAATCAAACTGAACAATTTCAGCACGGTACGTGGGCCAATAGTAAACGCCATTTATGTGAATGCGGTACGGGCTTTCTCGCCTGATATCATCGGGGTCGTAGCCGAAATGGATTTCCCTCCACAAACCGGTGCCGACCGACAGCAGTTCCCCTCTCATCTCAGGGGGATCAACATCACCGTGATCCTGAAGATGGGATGGAACATAGGAACACCTTAACACCTTATAGTCCCCTGAACCAGAGTCGAACCCAACGCCCCAAAAGGCATAGAAAGAGTTATCTAAGGGTTTCACCGGAAATTGAGGAATGGGTCTGACCTCGTCGGTCCTGGGGTCCCACAGGAATGGCTCTTCAAAATCGGAGCCCAACACCACCCATTTGTCGCAGCCGGCGAGGAATTCATAGCCGCCGCTGCTATTAAGCCGAGAGAAGTTGGGGCGAGTATTGGGTTCAACGGGTTTGAGCGACTTGTTTTCAATTGAGAGTAGGGATAGGTTATGGGGTCCGTTGTTGGTATACCGCTCCGCCACAAGCATGAGATTGTCATTGCCGTTGTTGTTGTTGTTGTTATCCAGATGGCGGCCCAGAGTGCCGAAACGACGGACGCCGAAAGAAAGATCGCGATGTGAAATCCGGCTCATGGCAATGAGCGGTGGGCTTGTACGGGGCTTTAATCCGGCAATGGAGATGGCGGCGGGTGTTCGGAGCGCCATGTTTGCGTACAGAGGAAGAATGAATTTCCAGATGCTTAATTCTCTTCTCTATTGGGGCATCCTTTTATTATTTATGTTAATTCCCATACAAAGCCCAATGGACACAGTTACAATTTACAACTGTGAATGGGTTCGAATCCGGTAAAATATTCGATCGATTATATTTACCAATTTCCAAAAAAAGTGTGATATTTAATTATTTATAAATATCAATCTTGGTAGTATTTTTAAAAAAAAAAGAACTAACAAATTAAACGAGTTACTTACAACTAGGGTTGTTATCAAATCGAACTGTTTGCGAACAAAGCTCGTTTGTATTCAATAACATATCGTTTGTTTAGTAATTGATCCGCTCGAACATGAAATTATGTTCGTTTAGTTATCGAACGACACGAACAAGTTCGTGAACTAATCGAGCGTTCGCGAACAAAAATAATATTTTATAATCTATACATATATTAAAAGGTATACCATTTATTAGATTTAGTATAAAGAAAAGTCAACAACATTTATTGTATTACTATTTCCGTATTATATAATCTATACTTATATAAAAGGAGCTTCTATTTACTACATTTACTATCTAGAAAAGTCAACTGCATTAAATGCCATTACTATTTTGGTATTATAATATTTAATTTATTTAATTGATTTATTTATTTGTTTTATTTTAAAAAGGTAAGTATAATAAAAAGATTTTAATAATAAAAAAATCAAATACCAAATAAAAATGTACACTTTGACTTATTTGATTATATTTGGTACTTGATTATACCAAATATATTCCTATTTAGTATATACATTAAATACTTACTAAAGTATTTATTTGTTTTATTTGTCAAAGTTAAGTATAGATTTGTTTATATTATCAAATCATAAAAAAATATTAAATCCATATTATAAAAAAAATCATATAATTTTATAACAATTCTACTACACTATTTAACAATATTTCTTTTTTATTATATAATAAAATAATAATTAAAAATTATATGGTGAACAATAATAAGTAAAACTGTTACTTTCTCTTATATCAAGGGATAAATTTATATGCTAAAATTAAATTTTTATTAGTATAAATATTTTAGTGAGATAATATATTAATTATTTTACAAGCTAGCCCTAACATGCTCATATTTAATGTTTTAAAAGATGTAGAAAAAAAAACTTATAATAACTCTATTGTTTTTTAGACTTCACGTTGATTAAAAGAGGTAAAAATTCCTAATTTTTTTAGACTTAAACGTTGATTAACACCATAGATTGAGAGTTTATATTTAGTAAAATTCCTAATTGTAATAAAAAAATTAAATTTTGCTATATTTTAGAATATCTTTAAATTCATTATTAAAAAAGAAAAAAAAAATACAATGAAAAAAGCAAGTCATCTATATATCGATTTGTTGTACTCCTTAAATCACATTCACAATTTGGCTACAAGGAAAGGAAACTTATTGATTAAAATATTATTTTGTCAGTAGTCTTAATGTACAAGAGACTTTAAGACTCCACTTGAATATTATAAAACTTTTATTAAACATTGTACAATTTTCTTGCGTATTATAATCTTTTATTGAATATTGCATCTTATAATACAATATTCTCCAAATAAATATATCTCGTGTTTCGCACGGGTCACGTACTATATATATCCCGTACATTTTTCTTTATTCATGTATATAATTATAAGCCTGGATAAATAGCCTTAAAATTGTGCACCCCGTGCATCGCACGGGCTCTGTACTAGTTTTATTTATTGCATATACAATATAATATTAAATATGAATATATATTAATTATTAAATAAAATAACTTTATGGCATTAAAATAAGGGTAAAATTGTAGTTTTGATATCCAAACTAAAGGTTATTTTGAAATCAGTACCTATTTTGAAACTTGCACGAAATCAGTACCTAAATTTTTATTCTGTTAGCTACGTTAGTACCCTGCCGTCAAATGTCTGTTAATCATTAACAAAAGTGACTAACATCGCAGTTAGGATTTGAATTACTTCATTTTTTTCCCCAATTTCGCATCTCTGAAATAGAACCTTAAAATTTCATTTCATTTGGTGTTAGTCACTTTTGAAATAGAACCTTAAAATTTCATCGCAGTCTGAATCTTCAATTACCAAGTAATTTTCTCTAATTGCTGCCCGTGTTCTTCAAGTCCCACTCGATTATTCAAATTCCAGATTGATTCTATGGCGAACAGAGATCGAGCAGATACGAAAGGAACTCCATTCTATGGTATGTTCTATGTTTTGGTTTAAACTACTCGATTATGCTTTAAACTGCTTGAAAATAGGGTTTTAATTTTTTTTCTTTTTTTTTTTTTTGCANATGAGGATACACAGTTCACTCTGAAAATTTTCCATGGAGGGGTGATGATTGAAGGTTTGTCAAGGTATTACAGAGGGGGTTTGCAGATTTTTTTATGCTGTTATTGAAATGAATGATTTTGCCAAACAATTAGGTTATGAGGAGCAAGATATTAGGTTTTGGTATCAATATAGTCATTCATTGTATAAGGGAGCAAAAGTCATGATTAATGAATCTGATGTGCTTGATATTCTGAAGTTTATTCCTCATAATAGAGATGCTCTCATTTACATTGAACATTTAAACCATCCACAACCTATTGAGCCATCTAGTTTGCCTTCTAATTTGCATGAAGATGAAGAACCTGTGCTTGATTTTTCCTTTCTTGATGACACTTACATAGCAACTCCAGAAACATAGGCCCACCCTGATCCTATTGTAAAAGACAATAGTGATGGTCATAGTGACAGTGATGATAGTGATGTTTTAATTGATTCTGAGTATGATATGATGGAGGATGATAGGTTGTATAAGAAATATGTTGATCATGATCTTGAGTTTGTTGGTTTAGGTCAGAGTTCTGACCCTATGAATAACATGTTGGGAGATGATGTAAGTTGTAGATTAGAAGGGGACATTAGAACCAGTCATTAGTAGTGATGAGCTTGAGAGTTTGGTTGGTTCTTATGAAGATAACTTGTGCATGCCAAAATACCCCAAGTACAACCATGGTACTGAGAGTAGGAAGCCAGTCCTTAAATTAGGACTGATTTTTAGTAGCAAGGCATAGGCAAAGTCTGCCATTGAGACTTACTGCTTTAGGGGTGGGAAGTCTATTTTCTTTGATAGGAATGACAACAAAAGGCTTAGGGCAAGATGCAAGACTAATGATTGTGAATGGAAAGCATATGTTGCTCCAATGCAACATGGCAGTACTTGCCAAGTTAAGGTGTTCAATAATGAACGTAGTAATTGTACTTGGAGCAATAATAATTCTTCTATAAAGTCATCTTAGGTGAGTAAACATTTTATGAAAAAAGTAAAAAATAAAAAAAAATCCCAAGATACAAATTACAGGATTTAGGGAAGATATGTGTTCTAAATTGAAGGAAAACATCTCCAAACATCAGGCTTATAGGGCCAGAATTGCTGCCAGACAACTCCTTGAAGGTGATGTGAAAGAACAATATAGTAAGTTGAGGGATTATTATGCTGAGTTACTGAGGTTTAATCTTGGGTCATTTGTGGTCTTAAAATTAATTGAAATGAGGGTGTGGTCAATCAATTTTAGAGGTTTTATGTGTGTTTTAACGAGGGTTTTATAGCTTGTAGAAAGGTGGTTGGGGTTGGTGGGTGTTTTTTGAAAGGGTGCTATGGGGGTCAGTTGTTGACTGCTTGTGTGATTGATTCCAACAACAACATGTTCTTGGGCAGTTGTAGAAGCTCAGAACAAAGATTCTTGGCTTTGGTTTATATCTTTGTTGGGGGATGATATTGGCATAAGTAGTACTGAGTTGTGGACCTTCGTGAGTGATAAATATGAGGGACTAATACCAGCTTTTTAGAGTTTGTTCCTAGAGGCAGAAAACAGATTTTATATTCAACACCTTCATAGCAACATGAAGAAGAATGGTTTTTTAGGTTTGTCAATAAAGAAGAGACTGTGGGCTGCTGCAAGATGTACAAGGGTAGAGAAGAGTTCAAAGTCAGAATGGAGAAGTTAAAGTCTGTTGATCCTAAAAAAATAAAAATAAAATAAAATAAAATAATTGATTGTATTAGCTTAATAGTGAATTGTAATAATTAATTTAATTAGCGGGTTGTACTATTTGTTTGGTAAATTGCGAATTGTATACTTATTAATTTACACAAAATTTATATTAACATGTTATTTTACGAATCATTTCTTTCGAAATGTTAACCTTGTTGTACGTTAAGTGTTTTGGGCCGATATATGCAAGGTGCTCTATTTATGATGAAAATTGGGTCTTTGTCAGTTTAGGCCCCATAAAGGAGAAGCCCAATAACTCATATGGCTGGTCCTGCGTCAATATATCTCCAGCAGCCTAGCTTAAACATCGATCTGCCAACTGATATATATTTGTCGATCTTTCTGTAGTGTGAACAAGAACTAGTAAATTGACCATCCAAATGACAACATCATCAAAATTCAAATTTTGCATGGAGACTCGTGTCACTCACTCGCCCCCATAGTTGGCACAAAGTCATCATTATTTTTCTACTTTGTTCAAATATAAAATCCGGTTTCAAGGCTTTGAAAAGCATATAAAAAATTTACCAAAAAATAGGCAAAAACAACTCTTTCAAATATAAATTTATTTTCCCTTTGATAATTTACGTGTCGGTCCGTATTACCTTTCAGGAATCTTTCTCTTGGTTATTATCTTCATTTTTTATCTTTTCTCGTATATAACTCAAACAACTATGACGTTTTGTTATCAATATATAACACTTATTACAAAACACACGGTCAAAAGCCCTTATTTTTCTTCAACTTTACTACCCGGCTTCTTAAATTACGCCTGAAAATATATTTTTCTTCAACTTTGTCCATGACAATATTAGAAAATTGTATTTCAATTTATTAAAAGTTTCTACTTTTCATGAGATCAATCACTACTTGACGCTTGACATTTTCGAAAAACATAATTCTAATAGGACACTTTTCAATACCCATGTCAATTTTGAAACGATTTTTCCAAAATTTTAAAGAAAAATGACATTTTAAAAAGATATNATAAAAATTATTATAATATAAAAGTAACAACTGTCATTCTAAAATATATAATAATATATATTTTTTATAAATAAGTAAATAAAATTTAAAATAATTTTTCTCATTGATTTTAAAATTTAAGAATAATTTTTTAACAAACACGTGTGTACACAAGTGTTGTACTAGTGTTATTTAAAGAACAAATAATTCTCCAATTTTTCCAACCAATTAATATTTTTTCCTAGCAAAATTAAACCCTGCCACTCCAGTGCGAGAGAGAACCAACGGCCATCGTCAGTACTCGTACCTCTCCTTCAATCCTATCCTTTAAATACAAACTCTCACCGGAAACTGAAACTCACCGTCAATTCTCCCCTTTTCTCCTGTGATTGTATAAAAAGGGGATGGTCCATTTGGACTGGGTTACACGAAATGGATGGACGAAATAAAACTCAATTATCATCTCAAGTTGGTGAATTATTAAATAAAGTTGTCTGATTAGCATAATTAGTGCTAAGAAATACTCTAGGCATGCCATTATGGAAAATAAGTTCATAACTAATTCTCATCAACATTTGAGGACAAGAACCGCAAGTTCTGGCGAATAATATTAACAAATAACAGACCACCCAAGACACTGAGAGTGGCTGTAACAGACTTAACATTAGTACATGAGTACTGAACAAACTTCTAACATTACTCATCAAACCGTGGAGGGGCACACAACTCAGAGACCACAGTAGATATTAAATGTCTAATGATTCTCAACAAAAGAAAGTTGAAAGATGAAAAGAAGAAAAAAAGAAGAGGAAATATAGTGATACAAGCAAGAACCAAACCTCAACTAAATACTGCTATTTGATCAGAGTACGAGTACAACACTATGTGCCTAAGGTAACTATCGTTTCACATATCATTACTGTTATGCAAGAATTTACAGATTGAACAAACATGGCAAATAAAGGATGTAATTCGTTTTACATGTATCAAACCCAGCAAGAGCAGCCAGCTTGTTGTTGCCTCTTCTGCATGCACACAACAATGCGTTAAACGATAATAATATTGTAGAATGAGGATGACGTTAAACGTGTGTAACTTATTGCCCTTTCGGATTTGAAGGAAATGGACCAATATACATGATATACAGCAGATAACACCAATAATTGCACATGCCAAGTATATAACTTTAGTATAGGAAAAGATAGTACTAATATATTTCTCTCTTCTCAGGAATTACTTAATAGGATTATTACTAAAAAAAGCCATTCGTTTCTCCTAGTTTCTGTAACCCCCAGACTACGTTTTGACATAAAGCACTATGAAACACAAAAGCATAGAAAGTAGCAGACGTGGTAAAATGTAAGGCAATTTGGTGTGCATAATATTTTTTTTTAAAAAAAATGGGAGGTCACACAAGGTATGATGTTTCTCATCTTCATCTTGAAAGCCACGAAGATAATGCCACAATTGGGAACACCAATATCAAACCATAGTTCAACAAACTATTTCCCATCTGGTCAAGAATAGTATTCCAAGTGCGCGTAAAAGGACAACCAACTTGTTTGGCCTGCACCATGAAATCCCTATCCTCACCATTTTTCAATTTGAAGAAAGCATAGGCTGTAAAACAAAAGGGTCATTGAAAACAAATCACAACACCACTTATATGATATAAAAAGAATGAATAAATGAGAAGGATCCACAAACTCGCATTACACTTGATCATAATAGAGCCAAAGGAATAAGAACTACATACATGTTCTCTTTGTTGGTATAAATCAGTTCGATAGTATGCAGTTGACAACAACAGGTTGGATTAAAGGAATTGAAAAGACTGCAAAACAAACAAAAAGTCAAACCGAATTCCACGACCCCTAATCAAGATCTTAAGAAACTACCTTCTTT